TTGGTCTTGATGTATCATAACCTAGAAAGCGTATCAATTGAATGGAACGATCAGATGTTATTTATCGTTGAATCAATTGCCGATTTTCATCAAAGAAAACTACGAGAAGAAATATGATTTATCTTATTTTTCCAAATGTAATCTACAGCTTTTCAATTGAGAATGTTCTGTTACCTTGTCTTCTACACCTGCTGGACCTGAGGCTTGTTCTGTTTCTTTCTTCTCTTTTTCCTCCATTTGTTTGCTCAGACTATTGACGAACATAATATTGCATGAACAACATAAATGAATATCCGTATTCTGTAATACAAACAAATATTTGAAATCAATAAAAAGTAAATAGTTCAAAAGAATATTTGAAATAAACTATTTCACGTACATTTGGAAAACCTTTTTCTTTTATGATATATTCATATAATTCACCTTCTCCGAGCTTCGTAATGGATGGGTTTTCGCAATTTGAACAATTTATTTTATTCATTTTTTTATATTTTATTCTATGTCTCTTCGAATTGTGAAAAAATATACAAGTGTCAAAATGATACAAAAAACAAACTTTTTTGGCAGTTGATTCAATTCAATTTTTCAATAGGAACATGATGGACATAACATCCCTATTGAAAAAACCAACTGTTTGTAGCATCAACAAAATGAATGAAACTATAAGATATTCTGCATATTTTGAAAACCAATTACACTACATTTATATGTTAAATGAAATAAAGATGTTGGTCTATTGTTTACTAAATTAATGCTAAATGAATAAATTTATTGAATATTTTGTTGCAAGAGTTTAAAAATGAGTGAATTTATCTTTTCAAACTGTGGTGAAAATATTCATTTGGTATGAAATGGTGAGAAAAGTTGAAATCACGAACGGGTAATTGTGAAATACTGTCAATGCAGTCGCATAAATAGTCCGTTCGACCGACTGTCATGTATCTGTACTAAGAATTGACTCTCTATGTGTATATCATTTGACAAATTCATTTCAGCTGTGTGTCTTTTTAATATCTACATTTTTTTTTCATATCAAATTTATATAAATCATGCCAAGTAAATCAAGCGATTTCGACCCACTTGAAGTAGGTCAAATGTCATTAATGATGTGAAAAAATTTGCATGTTAAATTTGCATACTTTCAACCCTTTTGATTATGTTCGATATATATTTTCATGAATGAAAAATTGAAGGAAAAATGCATTGATGAATGTTTCTGTCTGGAATTCCTGTTTAACACAAATAAAAAAAAAATGAAGAAAACTGCCAACCAATTTTAGATTCTCAAAAGTCCGATTTCATAATAATTTTCGTGCAAAATTATTATATGATTTCTGTCTATTCTCAACATTCCGAAATAATATTGAATAAACTTAGAAACGAAAAAAGAAATATAAATGATTGTTTCTTAAATAATTTCGAGGAAAAAAAGATGAAACCAACTTTTTTTTCATATTCAATGTTTGTTCATTCAATCGATAGTAGTTTGTACTATTTTACATACATCAATAGCATTCTGTTGTTCAAAACTGTTTCCAGAGTCGTTTCGGCTATAAAAAATAATGCAGACGAAAGAAAGTCCGTACATAATCTAAAAACTAATTGGGTTTTTGCATGGGTCGAAACATAAGTGAGAAATTATTTTAACTGATGTAAAGAATTTTCAACAATAAAAATACAACGGGTTTTTCTCAAACTGCAGGCAACATGTGGATCGGTGTGGCAAATTTGAAATCTTCGGGGAAAAGTTTGCTTGCGTGTGGATACATCAGTTTATACGATTGACAAATGGTTACGTCGGCCACACCGGCAATATCACCGATTTCTTTTTGGCTTCGTTTTTGCTCTGATGCCTGTGATGCCATATAAATTGCAGCGGCGGCCACTGAAATCGGTGATCGACCAGGTACACTGTCCATTTCGACGGCTTTGCGTGCGATATGTGTCGCTGCACGTTGAACCATATTCGGTAGGTCTAAACAGAGCAAAATAGAATGCATTTAGTTGGTTTCTAATAAATCGAAAAGTGTCTGTGTTCATTTACCCAAATTGGCACAAAACCGAGACATAAAGTCAGCGGTGGTGTTGAGTTCAACAGATGTAGCAAGTGCTTTCAATGTGAGTTTGAAACAACGACCAATTTTCTTCTTACTAATTTTGCTCACTGCACAAATTTCCTTAAATGTACGTGGTACTCCCTCTTGTCGACATGCTATGTACAAACATGCACTTGCCTTAGCATCATTCGAACGACCACATACGAGAGTCAATTTTTCCTACCTATGGGGACTATCGACCCGGATAAATGGTGGCAAATGGCCTAATTTGGTGTGGCCTAGCGAGCCATACCGACCAAAAATCCGTTTGCTCCCATTGGGAAAATTTCGAAAATTTATCCTGAGCAAAAAACAGCACTTGTCTTGAGCATTAAAGAAAGGAACCCAAAAATTTAGCATAAACTAAAATTGAATTTAATCGATAAACGACCCATGAAAATTAACCCATGAAAAAAGGCCATGATCATTTATTTCAATTTAATTTTGCCGAAATTTGCCGCTCACAAAAGCCGTATACGAATTTAAAAAAAAAACACGCAATTAAACCTTGTCCATATCCAACTGGTGCACTTGTCAAATGGTATACGACCGATCGAACGTACCCCCGAATAGTACAAATGTATATTTTGATAGAACGTTCTTGGTTTTCGTCTATTTTTATCACAATTGACTCGGCATCGTATTTGGAAGCCGCAAAACAAAATAAAACAAAACTCCACCAAAACCATATGGTGTATGTGGAAAAATTGTTCGTCAAAATCCAGTTTGTATTGTTGTTTATTGTGTTACGTGTTTTTGCATAAGAATCTTGTACAGAATGAGAAAATTGGAAGGTATTTGAGTTGTGGTGTTGTTGCCAAACACACAGT